ATGAGCTTGTTGAGTTGGTTGATTCTGTATGGCAGGAGCTGATGTGGTCTGAGGTTGAACATAGTTCGACTTGCCTTTTCCATCTCCTGGCTTTCCTCCTTTTCCATCATCATCCTTGCCTTTCTTGCCTTTCTTTCCTTTTCCTTTTCCTTTTCCTTTCTTCTGGAAGTATCCATACTCATCCATGTAGTACAGATCATCATAGGCCCAATAGCCTTCATTCCAGGTTTGATCATCGGCCCAATAGCCGTCATAGTTTTCATTCCATTCATCTTCTTGCCATTCATCTTCATAACCTTCTTCACTCACCATGTGAGCACGGCCTTTTCTTCTTCCTTTACCTCGGCCTTTTCCTTTTCTTGATCTGAAGAACCTTCGTCCTCCTCTGCCTTTTCCTTTTCCTTTTCTCTTTCCTTTACCTTTGCCTCGTCTGATGTATTTGCCTTGGAACCTTCTCTGATACCATGTGAAGTTGGCGTCATCATAAACCCAGAAAACATCTTCTAAGGCATCCAGGAATCCTTCTGCGCCGTCTTCTTCATCTTCGGCCCAATAGCCGTCGGTTCCTTCTAATTCACCTTCATCCAGTACGAGGAAAGATCTTCTCTGTGCCATGCCAGAGGGTTGCATCAATGGATTGTCAACTGCTGTTTTGGTAGTGCAAAACATTTCCAAAAACAGGTCACGTAGTTCTTGAATGTTGTATCGATCGAGGGTTCGTCCACGATGTGTCATGATACTTGTGAGCGTGTTTCTCTGATCTTGACTCAGGTCAGCTAGACTTACAAAAATCAATGCTAGCAAATTTTCACCCAGTGGGAATGCTTGTCGCTGTACTTGTCTACGATCTTCCTGAAATTGTCTGAATGCCGCTAGTGCCAGTTCATCTGACCAAGGAACAGCTACATGGGGTGTTCCTGAGGCTGCTGCTACTTCAGCTCTCTCTTGCTGATCTCGTTCATGTTCTTGACGTCGTTGTTGAACAAACAGAATTGCTTCAGGACTAGTCACTGTTACTTCTGGAAGTAAATCCATCCAAGACTCAATAAGTCTATTGCCAGTGAGTTGAAATCTAGTCATCCACTTCTGAAGATCCATGGTTCCTCTGTTGAACTTCATGAACTGCATGAAACGGTATAAGAACACGTTCTGGGCACCTTTGATGAAATGAGGTCGTAGAAATCTTTTGAAATAAGCCACTCCTTCATAGGGATCCCTGAGTAATTCTCTATCCAATAGCCTCTTGTATTGTTGAGCATCTCCTTCCAGTCTGTTGCGCAATGCTGGACCACGTTTCTCTGGTTCTAACTCCGTAATGTCACACCAGTCATCAATTGCATCCTCAAAAGCAAAGAAGCTGGTTCGCCCATCATAGGCTGGAGCAACCTTTGTGGTCATCTGTTGCGTCATATGAATCTGTGTATGCTGGGGTGCTCTTCTCATTGCATAAGAGTCATATTGGTTCCATTCATTTGCATCGACAATGTCGAAGTCATCATCATCATAGCCATGGCTTGCCATTTCTTGGGCTCTACCTGGAGCTCACCCTCAATGAGGGATCACTGCTCCGCTACCACTTGAAGAGGGGCCCTAGCGTCTACTTCAAGATCAGCTAAGGTGTCTTCCCCAATGACAGCACTTGTTTTACTCAGCCTGTTGCCGGTCTGTGCTTGTCTACAGGGTTACTCTATATACCTCTTGAGCCTTGAGGGGCGCATATAAATGTGCTCAATACTCATGCATGTACCTATGTAGGTATTAGGTCGAAACAAAAACAAGGGCGCGGCGCCTCCCCCCAAAGCAGAATGCAAGCACCTCTTCTCACATGTTACGTTGCTAGTTTTCAAGAGAAGGTTGGTCATGTGATACTCAGGGATGTAAATACTGTGCAAAATGCATCTTACATGAAAATCAAGTATTTAAAGCAGGCAAAGCAAAAAAAAGCAGACAAGCAAAAAAGCAGAGAAGCAAAGAAACAGGAAACGCACAAAAGCAAAACAGCAGAAAGGCAAAGAAGCAGGAAAAGCAGAAAAGCAGAGAAACAGGAAAAGCAGGAAAAGCAGAGAAGCAAAGAAACAGGAAAAACAGAAAAGCAAAAAAGCAGAAAAGCAGAGAAGCAGAGAAGCAGGAGAAGCAGAAAAGCAAAAAAGCAGAAAAGCAGAAAAGCAGAGAAGCAGGAAAAGCAGGAAAAGCAGGAAAAGCAGGAAAAGCAGGAAAAGCAGGAAAGCAGAGAAGCAGGAATCCAAAAATAATTCCTAAACCTGATCAAAAAAAAAATCCTAAAATAATTAGCCCTCCAAAAAAAAATGTCACATTCACGGTGTCCTCAAACTCTGTTGGTTCGGCTTAAATCCAATCGCCAGAGAGCGTGCGTAGGCAGACCGTTTAGGAAGTGATCTCTCTAAATGACAGTGATGATGGTGGAATTTCTTCGGCATCTGTGAGGAAAGTCTCTCGGAGCCAAGATCGCACACTTGCTTCAGCTTCTTTGGTGATCTCAGTCAAGGGTTCGTGGTGAGAGTCCTCGGGCAATGTCGAATGCCACTGGTGTTTGGCAGTCGGTTGCTGCCGCGTGTCATGCAACCGTGGGTGCTTACCACCCTGTTTGCCACGCAGCTGTCCACAACCCTCTGTTGTCCTGCCAGTGCAAAGCTGGATATTTATGAGATATCTTTGTGTAATGAGTCAAGAAAAAAGCAATGACCGGCAAATCAATGCGGCATACGTATAATACTGTCTGTGAACTGCTGAATGAATGAAAGATTGCCAGAGATATGACATGACAGCAAAGAAAATCAAGGAGCGGAAGAGAAGCATGCATAACTGCACCATGTAGAGCGTATCAGCACGTGTGTCACCTTAGCTGCCGTCAAAATAAGAAATTCAGTCGCAAGAACGTTACTGCCTCCCCCCACCCCGCCAGCCGACAACAGATATAGTTGTTGCCTCAGGTAGTTGCTGACCGTGACATTCTTAGTTGCTGACTCGGGCCGTTCTAGTTGCTGACTCGGACCGTTTTAGTTGCTGACTCGCACGTCCGTAGTTGCTGGCACAGACGTTCTTTGTTGCTGACTCGCATAGTTGCTGACCCGCGCGCTTTAGTTGCTGACTCTTAGTTGCTGACTCGGACGCTCGTAGTTGCTGACTCGCGCGTTCTTAGTTGCTGACTCGGACGTTCGTAGTTGCTGACTCGCTTAGTTGCTGACTCGGTCAATGTTGACATGACATTTAAAAAACATGACAAAACGTAACAAAACTTAGCATTACATTCTATACATTATATTACATTACATTACATTAGGTTACATTGCAATGCATTGCAATGCATTGCATTAGATATACGTACGTAAGTACGTACATACATACATACATACATACATACATGCATGCATGCATACATGCATACATGCATACATGCATACATGCATACATGCATACATACATACATACATGTAGATTGAAAGCGGCTGTACACTGCTTTCTCGAAGTCATCACAACGCCTGTCCCCACATTTTTGCCTTCTGCATCCAATCAGAGCAAAGGAAAGGCCCTCCGGAAATACAATATTGCTGGCTGGGAAATCCCCATGCTTTCATCCATTTCATGCATTTCATTGTATTTTATTTCATGTCGTTTCATTTCATTTTGAGACATTCCTGTATTCATGTATCTATCCATCCATCCATGTTCATTCTTCCATTTGATGTCATTTCATTTCGTTTTATTTCATTTCATTTCACTTCACTTCACTTCATTTCATTTCATTCGTTTGTTCGTTCCATTCCATTTCGATGCGTTTGATTTCATTTCACGTCGTCATTCCGTCCGCCCATCCATCCATCCATGCCTCCATGCATCCATGCATCCATTCATCCATCCATTCATTCATTCATACACAAACCTATCCTAGGGAAGCTATCCATCGATCCATGCGTGCATTGATCAAGAACTGCAGCAGAAGCAGCTGCAGCTTCACCCTGCCAGCGTAAGAGGTGCATTAAAATGGTGCAGCAGGCACCATGGCCCACATGGTGTTTACAATCTTGTCCAAATTCCAAAGGCAAAAGTGCAGCATCATGCACAGTGCCTAGAGGAAGAGATTGTAGTGGGAACTCAGTTGACCCACCAGTGCACGGCTTGGATAACAAATGATGCAGTTTCCATGAGAGGGGAACCGCGCTGTTTTTACTGTTGGTACCACAAAAAGAGAAATGACACAGACCTGATAAGGTGGTTCTGGCGAATCTGTGCCGAAAGCTGTTTTGAACCTACATCTGCAACGTCCGCCCAAAATATCATGATTTGCTCCAAACTGTATCGACCATAGCGCTGGCATAAACAGGGTTTAACCTGCGATTTGGCTGTAACTGAATTGGAGTATAGGAGCAACAGGCCAACCGCTCGCACTGGTGCAAATTCCGCCATGGTTGGCCCAAAGGATTCTCTGGTTATCACTCCATCTAGAGTACTGCATCTAGCATTGTTGTAGCATAGTCCCCCGTAGACAACAATCATGAAGGGTTCATGTGGATTTGGTGAAACAAAATTTTGACATGTGGGAATTCAGCCAGGTTTGTAAAGCCTATTCGGCCAAGTTTGCAGGTCTTTAAGTTCTGTGGTTTTGTTTCAACCGCAATGGATAGCCGCTGCACTTGTCTTCCACAATCTCTATTTTTTAAACATCAAGCGTAGGATTCACGAAGGCATTCCAGCTGGTCCGTGGGTGACACTTCTGCCACGAAATCAGGAGGCTTGCTATAGCCACGCAATGTGTGGTCCCTACCTAGTCTATTTGCCATGACGTGCCATACCATACGATGCAATAAAATACAATGCAATGCAAACAATGCATCCAACCAATACAATTCATACACATACTGCAGTATATGCAAACACACACACATACATACAAACAATTGCGTAATCGTTTGCTTGATTATTTCCCTGGTATATGGTTCATTGTATCTTCTCCGTGATGGTAATGGTTATATTTACCGTATGTTCTTCATCTGCTTTGCCAACTGGAAGCGCCAAGATGCGCCAAGGCTCTAAACTTTTGAACCGTCTAAATTGGTGGCTGGTGCACAATCTCCTCTGCATGGTGGGAGAACACATTGAGCGCAAAAGAATTAGGTGTTTCTAATACATGCACAAAAATGCACAAAAATCTCTTGGCACGTTTCATGAACCCAGGACGCTTATGAGAGCACCAAGTGCTGGCACTTTTTAATGTTACTCAAGAAGTCTCTCCATCTAAAGTGTCTCTCCGCAGTGATTCTGGGATGGTTGACGGATGTTGACGGTCCTCATCGCTCCTCCCTCCGCATTCAGAGCCAATATGCCATTGACGCTACGCCGTCCTCGGTGGAGCCAATCCACCCCGAGGCGGCAAACTTCATGGAAAGCTCTGCGAAGCTGTGCAGAATGTATCTAACGTATCCGTACCAAACCTTTGTTTGATGAGAATGATATTAAAACTCGCAGAAATATGTAGCTGCAAAGGATGGCACTCACGAAGTCGCCAGGGGAAAAATGTGGATGGTATATGAAGCGAGAAAGCTTTGGAGATGTTCAGAACCATTGCCAACTCGCCAAACACACTATTCTCACCATGGCAAGGCGCTGGTTTTGTAAACCTGACAGTCGGAGGTTTGAACGTGGCGCAGAGCTCAACAATTGCACTTTGAATCCCTCTGGTAATCAAACTTCGCAATGGAAAATCCCCTCTACATTGAGGTTTTAAGTGAAAATGATCTATGATAGGGATTTTCCATTGCCATGTTTGATTGCCAGAGTCAGAGAGTAAGCTCTCTGCGTACTCTTTTGCACTGTGCCGCATTCAGCCCACTGATGTCTTGAAGAACTCTGGCACGCGTTTCTGCTATTTTCTGCTGGGTGTCCATATCATCATGAGGGGCAAGAAGCCCAAATTCCTTGCAGCACCTTGAAAAGAAAAACATCCCCCAAACAGCTGCTGACCTCCTGGAGATCTTACCGGAAAGCGAAAAAAACCCTTCCCCCTAACAGAAAATGCTCCTGAAACCCACGTTTATTGGATCTATTCATTTTGCGGTCCCTTATTGTCGGTATCTCATTTGAAATTGGCCAAAAAGAAAACATGTCAGAATGGTTAATCAATGTTAATCATGCTATATCAACCCATGTTGAATCCCCATTTAAAACTGGTTAAAACATGTTAAAACCACCATGTTTGGTAGTTCATGCGTGCCTCACTGGAGCGCCCACAAAGGTCGCAAATGCCATCTGCTCCTAACAACGGAAGCCATCTCCAAACCCTTGCAGCAACCCCCCAAGAATTTGGGAAATTGCAAAACTATATCTTCTTGGTGATTACACCAAATGACAACTTCGTAGAAAATCAAATCTGCAAAGCAGCTTGAATGCACTGCGTCACTTCTCGATCTTATTGCGACCCGAAACGGGTCGACATCACTTCAAGAAGGCTATCTGATCAAGCTTCTGTCCCTGGGGACTGTCTGAGGGGTGTATCAAACATCGTTACTGCCTTGCGGGCACTTAAATGACTGTTTAGGGCCAACCAGCACACATTAGGAAAGAAATCCCAATCTCATGCTGCCAAGATCGACAACGTCTGTGTGGGCTCTGGCCAGCATCCTCCGTAGATTGAACCATAGGAACAGGATGTTCTGTGCTGCATCTGCGAGAGTTCCCCTGCAAGAGTTCATCTTGCGCAAAGAACGCAAAGAAACGGCACCAAGGGCAACGATTGGTTTGATTATCAAACATTGCAGTCAGCCTTCCATTCATCAGTAGGCGTCTGAACTTAAGATGGCCCACACACATAGGCGTATCACTCTCACACTCATACACATTTTGGGACACCTTTTTCAGCAGCTGGCCTCCTTGGATGTTAGCAGGGGATTCCTTGGTGAATTGCTCAAAATGGTGAGTGCAATCCAGAATGTCTGGGCTGGAAGTGACCCTTAGCATAATGTTTTGAGCATCCGGATCTGCTGTGTGAAAATTCCAAGGTTGATCATCATCTTCCCCGCAGAGATGAACGGAGTTTGGGTATGGGTCAGATTGTGTATCTCCAAAAAATGAGATAGCTACAATAGTAAAAATCACCACTTCATCTCTGTTGCTTGGCCTGAAAATCTCACCCATTCCGTGAATTTGGGATGATTTTGGTGGTTTCTTAAAATGGGGGATCCCAAAACCATGGGTTCAAGACTAAAATGCTGGATGATTTTAGGGTACCCCCCTGCAACATGGACATCAACTGAGGCCCCAGGCGGCAAGGCGCTCGGATGAGGTGCGACTTCTGACAGTGTCCGGTATGTCGATCTGTCATTGACCTGCCGATTGGCATCAGGGAACCATGGAAGTCTTTCGAAAGTGGATGGATTTTAAATGATTTTAAGGGAAATGCGATAGAAACAAATGGAAACATAGAGATGGTTTTATCCCCAAAATCTTTCACATGTATACTGGCGTCCTGTAAATGTTCCCTTCCAATTCTAAGTGTTATGGCATATGGAAAATATTTGAAAAGACATTAAGCTTGATGAAAACCATTGAAAGCCCCTTTGGCCTACATGGCTCTTTAAGGTGACCGTGCACCTGGAAACAACCAAGAGATTTGGCAAATAGTCTTTGACTTTGGCATTAACTGAAGACTCTGCAACAGGTTCAGGATTTGCGGATGTCCTTCACCAACATTATCGTGTGTACTTGGGATGTACTTGGGAGGTGTGCTGGAATTCGTGCTCTGCATCATTCTTTTGGCATTCACTGAGCTGTGATCTGTGAAGTGGCAGGTATTGGCTCTCAGATTCAAAACCCCACCAGCACAGGAAAGGTCCAAGAGCCACGATCCCACCCGATCCAAAACGCTGAATTCATCCAGCATCCCATCTAAAGTAAGCCCAGCAAAACTTTCACCTCCCGTCAAAGTGTCTTGTAGAATACCATGTTGAAGATTTCCATCCTGACCAGTAAGATTCCACCTCCGGGAAAGAGAGACGGAGAGGGGGAGAGAGAGAGAGAGAGACAGAGAGAGAGAGAGACAGAGAGAGACAGAGAGAGACAGAGAGAGACAGAGAGAGACAGAGAGACAGAGAGACAGAGAGACAGAGAGACAGAGAGACAGAGACACAGAGACACAGAGACACAGAGACGCAGAAAGACAGAGACACAGAAAGACAGAAAGACAGAAAGACAGAGAGACAGAGACACAGAAAGACAGAGAGACAGAGAGACAGAGACACAGAAAGACAGAAAGACAGAGAGACAGAGACACAGAAAGACAGAGAGACAGAGAGACAGAGACACAGAAAGACAGAAAGACAGAGAGACAGAGACAGAGAGAGAGAGAGAGTGTGAGAGAGAGAGATAGACACAGAGACAGAGAGACAGGGACAGGGAGACAGAGAGACAGAGACAGGGAGAGAGGGAGAGAGGGAGAGAGGGAGAGAGGGAGAGAGGGAGAGAGGGAGAGAGAGAGAGAGAGAGGGAGAGAGGGAGAGAGGGAGAGAGAGAGAAGAGAGGGAGAGAGGGAGAGAGGGAGAGAGAGAGAGAGAGAGGAGAGAGGAGAGAGGAGAGAGGAGAGAGGAGAGAGGAGAGAGAGAGAGAGGGGAGAGAGGAGAGAGGAGAGAGAGAGAGAGAGTGAGAGAGCGAGAGAGTGAGAGAGTGAGAGAGTGAGAGAGTGAGAGAGTGAGAGAGTGAGAGAGTGAGAGAGTGAGAGAGTGAGAGAGTGAGAGGGTGAGAGAGTGAGAGAGTGAGAGAGTGAGAGAGTGAGAGAGTGAGAGTGTGAGAGAGTGAGAGAGTGAGAGAGTGAGAGAGTGAGAGAGTGAGAGAGTGAGAGAGATAATGATGATGTATAAAGGGTAGCAAATGAGTTCCTATGTCCTGCCTCTCTTGTTCAGTATGCGTTAATAAATTGATTGTCACGACGCCTCCAAGCTAGAAGCTTTCTCACGGGTTTTTTTGATTCACTAGATTGCTCCAAGAACGAAAGAAACTGGCACAGCAACAAAGTATAGCAGTGGTCCGTGCAACACACCTCACCGGTCCGGTTTGTTCCCTGCCTCTCCCTTATTGAGGGAGCTCGTCTGGGATTTCAGAACCTCGCCAGCTCCTGTGTTTGTACCACCTGCTGCCAGAAAAACAGGTGTCTGCATCACATTGGGCTGGTCTTCAATGATGTCTGTGGGTCAGGATAGATCTGTTCCTCTTATTTCTCACCTTTGAACAAGCAACAACATGGTAGTTGAGACTCTATGGCTTGGCAGGAAAGCAAGAAACATCAGGAAACCGCGTCACTACTGGATCTGCTGGCTGCCACGGATCGCCATGAGGCATATCCACATCAACATTGGCGTCTGCCTTTTCTGAATCTAATTTTGGTGCAAACAGGATGTAACCTTTTGTGCCTGCGGCATTGGTCAATGGAGACTTTCGGAGATTTCGCCTCAGTGGGCTTTCACATGGTGGGGAAGCAGAGCAGCACTGGGATGGGTGACACCCGGTGCAAGATTTCCCATGAGATTTACTTTATTTATTTATATACGTACTCTGTTTGCGCCACCTTCTGCCTAGACTGAGCTCTGGGTCTGGGTAGCACAAAATCTCTGGCTGATGTCCTCCGTTCCAGGCCTACAGTTTCCCATGCCGTCTGTAGAATGTGTATCCCATGCCCCAGCCGCCTCTCTTGGGCGAGTCGTTTCATTTCTTCACCTTGGAGGTCAGTATGAGGAACCTTCTCAGGTGGAACTCAAACATGGCGTGCTGGGAAATTCCCTATAAATGCACGTTCTACTCGAAAAATCATGTATCAATGATTATCAACGGGGGACTTTCCAGCACGCCATGTTTGATTAGGATGTCCTTTCGCCAAAGCCATGTGGGTCTGAGCTCTGGCACTTCCATGTGCAAACTGACACGCTTCGCCTCAGGATTTCAAGGGCCGCAGCTCTACTCCCAGTCTGCACTTTCCGCAAGTTCCGGGTTGAGGAAACCACCAGCAGCGCACTTTCCACGCCTCACTCTCTGAGCATTTTGAGCTGATTGAAATGTCAAAAAGACTAGTTTTGAAGTCATTGCCAAGCCATCATTTGCAGGAAAACACAAATAAATACGCCAATAGAATAAGGTAGTAGCATATTGTTTGCAGCTTGATATGCTCATTTTTCCCAAAAGCATCTTCGATGCTTGGGTTCTAACCGCGCCGCGTGCGAGCTGAGTTGCATGGACTTGTGCGGACGGTGTGGGTGCATGCAAGGGATGGGGTGGAAATGGATGGGGAGAAGGCCCGGTGGGCAGCGGTGGATGCGCGGACGCGGGTGCGAGGGAAAAGGTGGAAATGGTTGGGTAGAAGGCCCGGCGGGCATCAGCCAGCATGGATGCGCAGACGTGCGCGGACGTGCGCAGACGTGCTTACGGTATATGGACGCAAGGGACATGGTGGAAATGGATAGCGCCCCCCTTGTTTCCCGTGGCGAAAAGCGCCACTGTGACCACAGATTCCGTATTTTGAGATCCCGACCGAAAGTCGTAACACAAACGAGTTTTGTAGAAGTCTGGTTGTGCCCCTCGGACCCACCATCCATAGGATCAATGGGATCCATGGGGTCTACGAATCTTAGATTTGGGGCAGCCGGCTAGCGTGTGTCATCGGTTTGCATACAATCAATCATTGATGCTGGCAACAGGGACTTACATAGCCAAAAAGCAACCAAATGGCCACGAGCAGGACCATTGAAAATATCGAAACATCATAGGGTCATAGAGTCATAGAGCTACTGCAGCCATCATCCACAGCTTTGCGAATGGCTCAACTTGAGTTGGGTGTGTCTTAAAATATGGTACAAGTATTCCAAAATCCAGTGGTTTGTCATCATTTTCCCTTAAAAATGTCATTTGGGTGGTATTACCCTGTTTCAGACACGCCCAATTGCTGTGGGCATCTGACAGTCACATGCCAAGCTTCGAATCTGCAACTCACTGTGCGCGAAGCTGCAATTCTGGCCGCGGGAACACGTACCTCAAGTCTCAACTTCACGGGCCCATGGACGACCTTCTCAACCCATCCACGGGAACATCCGTCATCTGTCCCCAAGTCTGAGCCACCGAACCGGCTTGGTAGAAGCTACACAGCCGCGTAAATTTGTAGTGTTGACGATTGCCAATATTTTTCTGGCAGGGAAACAGCGAGCGAAACGAGGATTGCGGTTGGTTTGACAGGCCATGACTGGACAAATTGAAGGGCAATCAAACATACCGGCACAAGCATCAAAGGGCGCGCCAAGCATACACATGCACATGGTATGCACATGAATGTGCGTACAGTGATCATTGGTTCACATATGTTTACATTAGAGCTTCGGCCTGTCGACAAACGCGAAGTCTCGCCTGAGGCTTCTCGCTCATTCTGTTAAATGCACCGACATGGACGGGCCACACGGGTGTCATCTGCTGTCCCCTGGTGTCTATAAATACTGAGCCGTGAAAGTCAGCGACAGCTGAAGCTGGCAGCCTCACAAGCACCACAAATGCATAATCAATGATCCATGTATCAACTGATGTAATTACTTATTTGTTCATGTATGTATGTATGATGGATGTATGGATGGATGGATGTATGGATGTATGGATGTATGGATGTATGGATGTATGGATGTATGGATGTATGGATGTATGGATGTATGGATGTATGGATGTATGGATGTATGGATGTATGGATGTATATGTATGGATGTATGTATGTATGTATGTATGGATGTATGTATGTATGTATGTATATATGGATGGATGGATGGATGGATGGATGGATGGATGGATGGATGGATGGATGGATGGATGTATGGACGGATGGATGCATGCATGCATGCATGTATTGATTATTGGAAAGCACTTTTTTGGACCTCGTTACATGTCTTTTGGGCCTGGACACGTTTACTGGACCTTACTACAATTCTTTTGGAGATGGCTACCCTTCTTTTGGACCTGCACACCCTCCTGCTCGACCTCATCCTTCCCTCCTGCTCGACCTGGCCCTTTCCCAAACCATACCCCTTGTGGATAGATTCTCCAGTTTCTGTCCAGCCGCGTCTGCATCGCAATTTTTCAGACAGTAGGGCGCTAGCATGCAACTGGGCAGGAAGTGCCATGTAGTGTTGTCCTCACAGCTTGAACCGACTTGGACACTCATCCTGGTGAGTTCGTTGCTGTTTGCGAGGGGTATAGCCAGTCTGGGAGCCTTGAACTCCAACCTGTGTGGCAGGAATGACAGTTACCCTGGCTGCCGTGCGTGGAGAGTAGGGGGCTAGAGCCGCGCTAGCAGCGTCTGCTTCGCAGTCCCCAGGATGGGTCATTGGTGAGTTCATTGCTGCTTGCGAGGGGTACAGTTAGCCTGGGAGCCTTGACCGCGCTAGCAGCTAGTATGCAACATGCCAAGAAGCCTTTCCCGTACACGGTCTGCTCCCAAACCATACCCCCTTTGGATAGATTCTCCAGTTTCTGTCCAGCCACGTCTTGATGGCAATTCTTCAGACACAGTTCTTGCATTCATCTTCTTGCATTCCAGTCGCGTCTACATGTCCATACGTCCTGTGACCGGATACTAACCAACGAGGCTACATCACATTGATTTGGATGTCGACTCACGTGGCACCCTCAGCTGCGACCATTGCGCCCAGGAGCATCCCTCGCCGGTACGTTTACACATCTGTCCATGACGGTCTTCGTTGCCTGCAGCCGATGTGGGTTCAATGTCTAGGCTTCACCCGTCAACTCTCAGCAACTTATTGCGCTCATCTTGTTCTAATATCTAGCTTCTCTTCCCCCAATATGCCTTTCAACTTCCTGCATCCATTTGGTTTCATATGTAGGTTTCCCCCCGTTGGCCTCTCCACAACTTCTTGCCTTTATGCTGTTTCAATATCCGAATTTCTCCTGCGCCCCTATGCCTCTCAGCAACTTCCTGCATGCATTTGGTTTCAATATCTCGGCTTCCCCTGTCTCTCAACAACTTCTTGTCTCAATATCTAACTTTCACCCCGGGGCCTCTCATCAAACTTCTTTAAATTCCTCAATTCATTGGGCTTCAAGGTCTATACTCTCCAGGGATTGCAGCGCCCATCTCCTTGTGACACATTGGGTTTCCCACCTCCTTCCCATTCTGCCCTCTTCTTCTCAATTTCTACTCTTCACACCTCTGTGCCCCACTTGGGAGCATTCACCTGGCTTCAATATCTAAACTTCCCCCCCCTTGTGCCTCTCACCAATTTCCTGCATTCATTCGCTTGGTCTCAAGACTTCACCTCTGGCTTCTTAACAACTTTTTGCATGCATCTCAACTTGGTTTCAATGTCTAAGCTTCCCCCCTTGTCCCTCAACAACTTGCGCTCATCTGGTTTCAATATCTAACTTCCCCCCCTGTGCCTCTCATCAAACTTCCTAAACTTCCTGCATTCATTGGGTTTCAATATCTATACTTCCCCCGCAGCCTCCCCATAACTTCTTGCATTCATTTTGTTTTAATATCTAATCTAAGCTTCCTCCCCGGTGCCCCACAACAACTTCCTGCATTCATCTTGCTTCAATATTCCCGGTGCCCCTGAGCAACTTCCTGCATTCATTTGGTTTTATATCTGGTTCCACCGTGGCCTCCTAAAGTCCCCCACATCTGTGCCTCTCCACAGCTTCCCGCATTCATGCGGTTTCAATATCTCAGCTTCCCCTCGTCTCTCCACAGCTTCTTGCATGCACCGTCATTTGGGTTCAATATCTAGATTTCCGCTTCTCGTCCCAGCAACTTCTTGCGTTCATCCTTGTTTCGATGTCTACCTTTCCCCTCTCCCACCTGCCTCTTTCTCACCAATTTTCCGCGGTCACCTGGCTTCAATATCTACATGTTCCCCCGTTTCTCTCAACACCTTCTTGCATGCATCTTGTCTCAATATCTAAATTCCCCCCACCCGCCGGCATTCATTTTCGGGTCCCAAAAATTCCTCAGCATTTTTTTGCATGTATCTTCATGTATCTTCATTCCGTTTCAATTTCTAGGTTTCACCCCTCATCTCTCAACAACTTTTTGCGCTCACCCTGTTTCAATATCGAACTTTCCCTTTCCCCTATGTGCCCGTCAATTTCCTGCATCCATTTCGCTTCATACGTAGACTTCCCACATTGGCCTCTCCACCACTTCTTACGTTTTTATTGTTTCAATACCGGAACTTCCCCGGCATCAACAGCTTCTTGCATGCATCTTGTCTCTGTATCTAAAATTCCCCCCACCCTGTGCCAGGTCCAAAAAAACGTGTACGCGTTCCCAAATACATGCAGGTCCAAAAAAGAATATCCCCACAGGGTCCAGAAAACACACAAGCAAGTCCCCCACATTTTTTGTGACCCTAGGTCCAAAAAAAAATCCGGTTAGGTCCAAAAAACATGTACAGGTCCAAAGGAAGGGTGCCCAGGTCCAAAAAACATGCATCTCTTTATTATTTGTTATTTATTATTTATTATATGTTATATGTTATATAGTTATATGTTATATAGTTATATATAGTTTACATTGTATGTTATATATTATATCATATTAAATTATATGTTATTAAATTATATTATATCATTTATATTATCTCATATTAAATTATATTATATCATATTATATTATATTAAAATTATATTGCATTATATTATGTAATATTTTTTATTTTATATCATATTCAATTATACTCTATTTTCTTGTATTTTATTATATTTTATTATATTATATTATATTATATTATTTAATATTATTTAATATTATATTATATTATATTTTATTTTATTTTATTGTATGATATTACATTATATTATAATTATATTATATTATCTTATGTTATCTTATCTTATCTTCTTGCGTGCCATAGGTATGGTTTGTGAAAACGGATGTGAAACTAACTTGGAAAAGCAGGTGCCATACCCGTAGGCTCCCCGCAGCATCGTTGCCCCTCAGCACAGGAACTCCTTGAAGCAGAACTGTTCATTAGTTCGACTTAGTTACGATGTCCAGGATACAGCCTGGTACGAAGCTTTGCTAGATTTCTTTGTTGATAGCTGCTTGCAGTATTTGAGCAAGTTGTGCGTTGGAGTTGTTGAAATCTCATAGTCAAGCTGTTTTGCCTCCATATATTATATCATATATATATATTATGTTATATATATTATATATTATAGATATATTATATATTATAGATATATTATATATTATAGATATTATAGGTATTATATATATTATATATATTATATTATATTATATTATATTATATTATATTATTTATATTATATCATATTATATTATTTCATATTATAATATATCATATTATATTATTTCATATCAAATTATATTATATTAAATTATGTTATATATCAAATATCATTTATGAAATATCATATATCATATATCATATATTATATTATATGTTTGAAATTATATCGCATATATTATATATTATTTAATATAATATATATTATATTATATATATTATATTATATATATATATATTATATTATATATTGTATATTATATATTGTATATAATATATTATATATTGTATATTATATATTATATGTTGTATATTATATATTATGCTAACACTGTCCACTAATAGAAGTTGATAGATTTTGAGGGTCAGGGTTTTGGACAAGACATGGCAAGACCTCCAGAGCGGCCATTGCCTGGGTTTGACACAATCTGCACTGCGCGCTGCCCACGGACTGCGACAGATGCCTCAGTGATGCTGCCTCTTAAATCCAAAGCCTAGTAATCTGACTTATGATTGTGTATCCGGACAACGAACAACAGAACTGCAAGAGACATAAGGTCCTTCTAGGAGCACTTGTCACAGTAGATGCAACATCAATATGTCTATTTCTGTACAGTGCCAGAGGTGCTCTGAAAAACGAAACAGACCACATGGTTCACTGTGCACAAGCTGCCCCCCTGCGAACTATTTCTACTGCGACCGCTTCGATGGGGCTGTCTTTGTCCCCTGCACGTGCTGGTTGTCCTGAGAAGCCACAAGAGCACCCTGCACATGTTATCTTCGCCCCGTTGCTGGCACATCAGAAACGCCTCCGGTTGAGGGGCGGCACCAAGATAACTTAGTACCGCGGGTCGGAAAATGGGAGAGATGTCACCAACAATTCTTTGATTAGACTCATAATGTTGATATTGGCAACAGTAACAATAGCATTCTTAGAATACCAATGATGACAACAATAACCATCAATGAATCAAACGAAAACAATTCATGGCCATCAACTAAGCTGGATATCAGGGGCCCCATCGCACCTGCAGGCGTAGACAGTCACAATGCCTCCAGGCTTCACATCCGGGGCTGTCATGGAGAATCAGCTCCGGATAGTAATCGTATTTCTTTTTAAGGAAAACCATGATTAACCAGTGGATATAGGCCAGTTTTGTGCAACCCATATCTAACGTATGAAATGTATTGAAATGTCTTCAAGCATACTATACCGCATGCAGACAGTCTGCATCATCTCTAGTTGCAATAAAACCCATTCTGTTGCAACAACATGCGGCATATGCCCAAACTTCAAGCTTGCACCTATGTTTTCCGATATGACCAGGTACCTATCCCTGCAAAAAAAAACACTCAGGTATGATATGATACGTTAAATGTCCCTCGACGCATTAACCGGTATATGATATGGTATACACGCATACAAATCGCGAACAATACATATATATATATAATTATATATATATATATGCCCCACACCATATAGATACAGACACACAAGTATACATACAAGACACATTTGACATTGATAGTACGCATACCTGCTTAGCAAGTAGGTTCCGTTGCCTTACCTTACAATGTGCTGCAGGACGTCACAGTGAGGTCCTAGTCCTAGCCTCGGTAAAAATGCTACATTGCAGAAGAATACAGTACATAACAGTACATAACACGATATATATATATATATTATATTGCATCCCCCAAAAGGGTCTACTGGCAGCCCCACCATCCAAGACCGAAGAGTCTAAAGACTTGAACATACAAAAAAACTGTCGGCTTTCTTCTCTCCAGCCATCATGGGATAAGCCATGATAAGTGGATATATTCTGATTATGATATATTCTGTTGTATTTGATCACTGATCCTTAGGCAACACCAGCCGAAGGCATCATGGCCAGGGCGCAATCGATGCTACCGTTGCCCAGGCGACAGCAACACAAACCTCGGCGACAGCAACGCCCTTGTGAAACTTGTGACGTTGACCATATGGGGATTCCATGGGATTCCGGTCAAAACCGAGGAAATGACCATGGGAAATACCATATGAATACCATATGACTGGAGGGAATAACTACCATGCATTCACCAGCGACTTAGAGTATTTGACCATGTTTGACCAGAAAAGCACCAGAGCTCCTGAAGCTTTGTCATGTTCTGAATGCGAGTAACTTCCAAAAAAAGAGCTGCTTTCAGATGAACCACCCTGAAAGACTATCTTGAACACCAGAAAGAAAATTCATGCGAAATTCCCTACGGGGATGACGGCAAATTCTCTTCTTGGAGTCCTTGGCCAAACATATTCTTGGGTAAAAAAATTGCTCTCTGGGTCCTTGTATGGCGACCATTGCTGACGCGTGGCTGTCGTACTGAGTATCCCAGAAAGCGGTGGCGGCCTGGTACGATATGACGCAATTTCACCATTTCATCGTCGACACAGCAAGGCCATAAAGATCATCCTCAACTTTCGCAGTCCAGAAAAACAGCACTATTAGTCAGAAAGTTTTCCAAAGTTTTTGGATTCCAGTACTTCTACATACTTCTACCGACCCCTCTGCATACTTCTACTATCTTCTACTGTAATCACTGTAATGCCTTCCCCTGTTCATGGGTATGTAGGGGATGAGATCACATCCGAAACTGGGACCATGGTTTCTGGGGCTGTTAGATCTGGTTTCATAGGATGGCATTGTTCTAGAACTGGTCACTGCATTGACGCTGCGCAGCTTGTTTTCGGAATGCGGAAACGCAGCTGGTCACAGAGTGGACCTGGCACGACAGGGGAGGAAAAATCTTGTCATGAATCTACAGAAGGTGTGGATCAAACTTGGGCACTGCAAAAGCTGATAAAAATGGTTAGAATATGTTAGAATATGTTAGAATATGACTGAAGTCACCACAAAGAAATCCAAAATGATCCAAATTGGATGGCTCTGGGTCTTAATTTTGACACATACTCAACTTACTGCTGCATGCTTTCACCGACCAAATAGCTTTCCATCCCCCACAAGAACTAGTTGAGATCCCTTGGCAGGGATCTTGGACCGACTTTAACAGATTTGGATCATGGGACTGCCTTACTCCTCGTTGTCGACGGGTTTCTTCTTGGCATCCGCGTTTGGCCGAACCCCTTGCCGACCGTCCCTCAGCAGGAACTGCAGGTTTCATCAATTCGTCGGTGGAAATTTCCAACCCAATGTCCGTCACTTGCACAGGGAAAGAATACCTCTAGCTAATCATCATTCATCATCAGTATTATAGTCTTATAGTATATAAATCAAAAAAATATAGTCAGAAATCATCATTTATCATCATTGATTATCATTGATCATCATTACCCACTGCAATCATCAGTAATCATCAGTGATCACCATTGTATATATTGTATAAACATCATTAATTAATTTAATCATCAGCAGTCATCACTATATAATAATCAGTATATTTATCATACCAGTTTCATCCAGTTTCACACCATGAAGCAGGCTGCATGGTCTCCAGTTTCCCTATCTTTCCGAGCTCTGCACTTGTGCATCCAACGTCTTTCCCTGTCAAAGTGCCCAGGTCACATGCTGCGGCCACGACCATCTCATAAGCTCTACCAGGTCTATCCAGGTCTGCCATGTTAGATATCTGCACATCTCCACACAATCAAATGATCCAGAGTACGGCGTGAATTGAACAATTTGTTCTTTCAAACAGGTCTGCTCTTACGAGGTCATACCATGTCATACCTCTTCTTGGATCGTAATTTGGCTGATCCGTACTGAGCAAGATTACGACTCCAACGACTATCTGGTACGGTTGGTTTGTCTCCCACTTCACGGGTTAGCATCCTTGCTTTCAGTCAGAACCCAACTATACTTTCCAGTATACCCAGTACAGTAGATCTTAGCTTCTAGCAGCCCCCAAACTGCTCGCCTTTCCATGATTTCAACACCTTTGTCACGCAAATGATCTCTGATCTTGTCGGCCTGAGAAAGACGTGCAGGCACTCAGAGGACAAGTTTCTTACATGGTCTTGCAAAACAACCTGCCCCTCATGGTTCCGTGGCGTCACTTCTTGAAGTTCTCCTGGACCCAATGGTTTACCAACTTACCCAAAAAGATCCAAAAAATCAATTGACTTGAATAATATCATCATCGTCGTCGTCGTCGTCGTCATCATCATCATCGTCGTCGTCATCATCAGCGTCATCCTCATCCTCATCGTCATCATCATCATCATCACCATCACCATCACCATCACCATCATCCATCCATCATCCATCATCCATCATCCGTCATCCGTCATCCGTCATCCATCACCGATCATCCATCACCCATCACCCATCACCCATCACCCATCATCCATCATCCATCATTCATCACCCCTCATCCATCATCCGTCATCCGTCATCCGTCATCCGTCATCCATCACCCATCTCCATCATCATCATCATCATCATCATCATCACCATCATCATCATCCATCATCATCATCATCATCACCATCATCATCATCAGCAGCATCATCATCATCATCACCATCATCATCATCAGCATTATCATCATCATCACCATCATCATCATCAGCATCATCATCATCATCAGCATCATCATCATCATCACCATCATCATAACAATACCTTGCAATTGTGAAGCTGCTTTGCAAACTGGCACCTTTACGGCTCCCAACAGCTCCCAACAGCTCCCAGCACTGCCTCAGCAAAATCTCGAACCATTCGGGCTTTTTCTCCTGGGTCTAACAGCTCAACAACTTTTCGGTCACCATGACAACACGACCGTACTCCGTTTTCATATGCAGAGCGTGATTGATGAATAATGACGGCCACCGTGCACACCAAGAATTGCGGCCCTCAATGTTGGGGGATCTTTCAGGGAAACCTGCAGCTGCTTCGAAAGGTGTTGCCTTCCTGTCATGGACAGAATTGTGGCACTCAGCCATCTTGTGCACCACAGACTTCAGAGCACTGCAGGAACATATCACAAGATGGACCACCTTATGGCGTTGTCAGTATATTTCAGAAGTAGCACTCCAAATAACCCCAAACAAATCTTCGCCACAAGATCATGCCCAGGCACTGTCAATAAGCCTCAGTGCATCAAGGGGAACTGAGTGTTCTCCCAAATCCTGAAATGTTTCTTCGTTTGGATTATTCCTGTGGTGAAATTGTGTGTTGAATCAGTGACAAAAGTCTTACGGATGACTCAGACTGGGGCAAAGTTCTCGCTCCTTTGGGTTATTTCTGGTGGCAACAATAAAAATAGTAAAACAAGGCGGACGCGTTGAAGCGATACTGTATATTGCTTGCTGCCCAGGCACGTATTATAAATGTAGGCGTTGGATGGAGAGCCATCTCCTTACGCACTGACTTCGGACAAGTGGACTAACTGTTCCACCAAATTGTGGCCCATTCGGATTGCAAGCTTTCAGGGTCTGCCAAAGGAATGACCACCAGTTCTTTTGGAGAAAGTGAGACTGCAGGTGCGTTTTCACAAACAAACAAACAAACAAACAAACTAAACAAAACAAAACAAACAAACAAACAAGGGCAATGAGTCAATACCAGGAATACCAGGTCTTGATGATGTTGAATGGCCGTCATGCGGGTGTGTCTGAAAATAAGGCATGCCTCCAAACTAGCCACTTACATCGTAGGTTAAATGATGATAAAACCACCGGGCTTTCAGGCACGCAATTTCCAAACGAACCCTGTAGCTTGGAATAAGTTCCCAACTGAAAAAATGCAACAGGTTGTCCAAGGGCGGCCAAGCATCTGGAGGGGCTCCGCGGGCCAGTGGTCGGGATGTAACCTCCAGCTCCACCTGCGAGTTGGAGATCACAGGAAGTGGTGTACTTCTATACTTCTTTGGACTCCATGAACAACCTGGAAAATGTCGGACTGTATTTGCCAAGCCTTCTAAACTGGAAAACCAACATCTTCGATATCATTCCATATCATTCCATATCATTCCATATCTACATTTATCATCATTTATCATCATTTATCATCATTTATCATATTATGTAATTATGCTGTACAATATATGAGTGAATATTCGTGCACGAAATTCTTGCCCAATTTCATGGTGCAACGGTGCAACCCAGCCTTTTCCGCCACCCTTGCCCTGGTCACGGCCGCGTCGACTCCGAGATCTCCCTCGTCGACCGGCGCCGCCACCATGGCCGCCATGGCCCTTGTCTCGGCGGGACCGGCGAGGTCTGGAAGGTGACCTCGACTCACTGTAGTAGCTGTAGTAGCCTTGGAACATCTTGGAACATGGAGCTGGGAGAAAAATGAATCAAACTAAAAGCATAAATCAAACAATGTAACTCATAATGATTCATAATGTAACTCAAAAAAACGGCCTTTGTTGCATAGCCGGCATGCTATTGCCATTGGCAACGTGATCATTGTGTAGTCAACTGGCCGAATATGGCCGACTGGAAATTCACCCTGCACATGCTGCTTTCTGTGCTTCCGGGCTGTAGGAATAGGACTCCTAGGCTGAGTGACAATGACAACAATGCGCAATGGCGTCTGGTCTTACCATCAAGAGAATTGATTTGTGTGACTACGCAGGGGTGCTGTGGCAAGACAGGGAGTTGTATGTCAAATCCATTGCTGGTGACTGCCACACTGAGTGAAATCGAGCAGCAGCACCTACAACTACAAACCACGCAGACCTAGTGACATCCCAGGTCAGTACCATTGCTGAATGCACCTTGAAAGCAAATAGGTTTGCTCACAACTTTCGCTTATGCGCAAAGGAATGGAAAAAACAAGTCGCGCTTGGATCCTAATGGCAAAAAACCTCAAAGATATGTAGGGCTATCCTCAAAATCACCATTTCAAGTTAAAATGGGTGTATCCAAAATCATCCAAAACTGGTCATTCCCAATGGGACAAGCAATGGAGTTATAAGTTGTAAGAGGTCCTCCATTTCAGGAACCCTCAAATCCCTCGGCTGCCACTGAGCTGCACTTCGACCTCGACCTCTCCCTCTCTTGGATGCCTACCACGGGAGAAATCTTCGGACGCAATCCAGGCTCAATATCTACCATCAAGGCATCCAAGGCATCCAAGGCATCCAAGGCATCCAAGGCATCCAAAGGTTCAATCCCAAGTAGATAATCTGATTGCAGTGACTTTGAAAACAACCTTGACAGGTGGAGCCAAGGGAACGGTGTGCTTGCAATGTATGCAATTTGAATATGTGTATTTTGTACTGCAGTTGTTTCCTTTCGACCAAATTTCTCAAATGCTGTCTAATTCTTTGGGCCCTAGAGTGTACGTGGTTTATATAGATTGTATTGGTATTGGTTGTTCGCAACATTCTGCTTTGGTGCAGATGGTACAGCCAGAATCTATGCATCTTCGCCGAGTCGGCTTCACCACCCCCAAAGATTCCCTGCCTTTCGTCGATCTTTGTCCTGCCAGCTGCTGAAATAGGTTTCTGTGGCCACAATGGCCGCCAGAATGCCAGCGGTGCTAGAAACATGGAGAACTGGCTAACTGGTTGGCTCACAATCAATTTGGGGAATTCAGAGCACGTTGCGGTTCTCAATGGTTAGACGGTTAGACTGGTTAGACACTCGAAAAACCACGCTCTGTCAGAGAAAATGGCCTGGTGACTGGTCAAAAACGCAATTCCCAGCTCATGGATGCTGATCATTTTCTTTTTTTTCCGCATCTCGATGCGAGTTTCATTCAAACGTATTGAATTTTGTTCGAACATTGTCAAAACCTATTGTTTCAACGTATTGTCAATTGTTTAATACTGGCTCAGGCCTCATTTAACTTGAAGCCTCTGGAGAGGCAAGCGGATGGAAGGCTGCAGCTGTTTCTCACCGTGGGACTAGGCGTAAAAGGGGGTGTTACAACACCGCCAGAGCTTGAGACAAACAGCCCGAGGAAATGTTAGTTGGATGATTGCACATCTTCATGGCAAGTGGTATGAATCAACAGCGCCCCTAAATACTTGTTGACATGAAGATCATCCAACAGAGTCAGGAGGTTGACTCCTCCCTGGCGAATCAGCTCGGAAGCTCTTTTCGATCTTCCTCTGAATTTTGGGTCTTTCCTACGCAGCAACTCAGCTTCTTCATCCCACAAACACAAGCGACCAGTTCTCACAGTTCTCAGAACTTCCTCCAAGGCGCCGTTCGTCTTGGAGATATCATCCTTGGTCAAGGCATCTGCTATCATCTTTGGATGGGGCGACCAACGCAGCAAACCCTTGGTCTTGCTCATGGTTTCGGAGATGATGGCTAGTTCAATTGACGTTCTTCTGTCCTGTCGTGATGTGGGGTTGTTCTTGAGGATTGCATCATAGAGACTTTTGGCGTCGGTGATGGCGCATTCCTTGAGCTTTTCATGCAACTCACACTCTTCGCGAAGCAAACCAATGAAAGGCAAAAGTGTTGAGCGCCAATCTTTTCTGCAAACATCTCCATAAACTATGTCTCTAAACATCACCTGTAGCCACTCCATTTCTCCCAGGGACTGCGAGAAGGACAAGGCTTCGCCAGCTAATGTTGAGCTCACCCTGCGCTTCAGCTTCGTTGATCGCCATGAGAGAATGGAGACTTTAGATTTCCTGTCTGCAGCAGGCAACTCATTCGAAGCCATGATGACCCAGGCACCTTGAACTGTGTCTTGAAGTTCGTTGGACCTCTTACGGATAGGCAAGCTATCCACACCTCCCGCATTGGAGGCAGCTATGAAGACCATGTCCTTGTTCTCAAACTTGTGCAAGACAAGACATTGTTGGGCTGTGTTCCTGAGGTGGGCTGCCAGCTTATTGAGGCAGGCAAGGTCGTGTACCGTGGCCTGCTTCAATCTGGAGGACAAAATGCTAACCACACCGGCTGCCTCTGGTCGAGTCTGGTGCGCAACCCAATCGATCTTGTAGAGGAGCGAGCGATATTGTTCAAACTCGTCCTTGTCCAACAGCTCTTGCTTGTTGCCAAGTCTGCCGCGAGCCGGCTTCAAAGGAAAGATCTTCTCGGCTATGTACTTGCGTTGGTCTAGAAGCACCTTGTCAGGCAAGACCTTGACATGACGTCCTGCAAAGTCAGCCTCTCCGTGTTCCCACTTTCCGAAGGAAAACCTTTGCTCCATGCACTTTCATAGTTCTTCTTGATAACCTGGAATCACGCCAATGTTGATATCGTCAACTTCGATCAAAACCATGGCCACAATGGCTCCTCTCTCGCGCTTCGCGAGCCAGCAAGGTTCCAGCAGAGATCGCACAAAGCCCATGCTTTCGAAGAAGGTTATCAAAGTCTGATGCCATCTGAGAGGCGCATCGTCAAGACCGTATACGGGAGCCACAAGTTCGACTAAACACCCGGGAGGAAGGTCAAGGCCTTCGCAGGGCTTCACGTAGATCTTGCCGTGAGGTCTGTCAAGAGGCTCTGCTTGACAGAAGGCGTTGGAGACATCAGCCAAGGAGACTAGCAAGGACAAGTTGACACATATCTGAAAGAACATGGAAATGGCTTCTGTCGAAGGCATTGGTGAATATGTCTTCAGCATGTGGCTATCAGGGTCTTTATGTCCATGAACGCACCACCTGCTCTTGAACTTGAAGTTGCCAACCCCTGGCATTGGCTTCTTGCGTCGGATCATGCGTGACGTAATGACCCGATGTGGGACCTGCTTGGCAATTTTGGCTGCTTCTTCTGGAGGAAGGATTTTGACAGAACCCATGTCAATGATGGCCTTGACCTCACTCTTGTCGGACTCCTTGAAGCCAGCTGCATCTTCTGGCGAAGCATGCCTCATGTCGAATTCAGTGTTGCGACTCTTCGAGGGGGTGGCCAAGAAAGAACCATTCTCTCGACTGAGCTCAAAGAAGGATAATTGCTCACCAAACTGATCCATCCACTGTTCTCCCTCAAACCAGTCATCGGCCTCACCTGGTACTGCAGGCAGGCCTTCGGCTTGAGGTTGAGCAACATCTGCTATTTCGGGAGCGCTGCTGCTCTCGCTCTTCTCTTTCTAGACGACGAAGTTCCCTCTCGTACTTCTCTTGATCTAGCTTCTCCTGAACCTTCTGCGCTCTATTGCCTCTGACTCCATTTCACTCACTTGTCTTTTCACACGCCCTGAAGCTCTTTCTGAGCCAGACGCAGAGCTGATAGAGGGCACAGGTTCTATCTGAGGCTCGTCCTGTGTCACTTGAGAGACTTGCCTGATGGCTCCGATGGGAACTCGTGGCAATGGAGTGGCTGGGGCGGCGCCTGGCAAGGGAGTAGCTGGGGCTGCTCCTTGCGCGGGTGGAGTGGGTGGAACTGAAATGTTCCGCAGGAGTGGTTGAGGTGCGCCAGCTTCTTGGCCTTCTCCTTCGTCCTCTTCTGCAATCGGACCTGGGGAGCTTCTTCTGGTACAATGGGTTGTTCGCAAGATTCATGTCCTGGCGAGCCTTCAGAGGAGACATCAACTGTTCCTGCTCGATGTGAGCTTGCCTGATCCAGTAGCTCCTTGATATCACCAGACTTCTGCAACTCGGCTCCTATGGCCTCATCATGACTGGCCGGTCGCAGTTGGTCAGAGTTGTATTTGAGCAACCTCGCGCGCATGGAGACCCACACTGTGTGTCCAGACTGCATCAAAAACCAGTCCAGGTCCGGTCCATCTACATCGCGTGACGTGGCCTTGACCAGTGCCAGCAAAGCGACGCCGCACAAAGACCCACTGTCCTGGACCCCTGGAAACCACTGCCTTTGACGGTGCAAATGACCCTGAGAGCTTAGACTGACTTTGTCTTTTGCCATGGTCTGCATGCACAGCTGTCTGGCCTTCTGACGAATGTCGTGAGCCTTGTTGAACTCCAGGGCGGCCGAATCTTGTTCAAAGCTGTCAGCTCGAATGTCAGGCTCCTGCAGGGGATCGTCACTCAAGAGTTCCAAAGGCACTCTTGGATTGACCCCGAAAGTGAGCTGGTATGGCGAGAAACCACCTCGATGGAACCACCTGTTCTTGTGAGACACCAGGGAGGTGATCAGTAGTTCCAGGTCTTCTGCTGACGTAACAACTGATTGCCCTGATTGTATCTCTTGTTCTATTCTTGTCTTCACCCAACTTCCGTGCCGTTCTACACGTCCGTTTTGCCAAGGACTGTGAGAGTCAGTTGTCATCTGCAGAACTCCTTGTTGCTCCAGATGTCTCTCAAAGTCGAAACGGAATTCCCCTCCTCCATCTGTGAGAACGGTCTCCGGCAAACCAAAAGGGCGCACCCAAACTTCGTTGAAAAGCTTCCATGTCTGCTTGGAGTTGGGAGTGCCACCATCATACTGCTTCAACATGGCTACTTGCTACAGGTTAGAACCGCGGCAGATCACGTTGAGGAAAGCAAGGGTTTTGCCAGACCATGACACGTAGAAATAATCCAGAGCCACTATCCTATTAAAAGTGAAAGTCCTTGGAAAAGGTGCTCGCCTTCGTGAAATGGGATGCTGCTGCCGCATGCACTGATTGCATGTGAAATGTTCCTTGACAAACTGCAACACTTTTGGCTTGGCCCCAGCGGCTTTTAGTAAAGCCAACATTTGCTCCCGGGGCAAATGCCCCATGTTCACATGGACGGAAGTAACCTTCCTCTTCTCTTCCGCTGACAGCGGCTCCAACCGAGCTTGAACTGCAGCAACGCCGTCCTCAAGAGCGTCAGTCTCTTCATCTGCCGCTTGCTCATCCTCTTCGTGCAACGAAACAAACTGGCCGAAACCCGTGTTCTGCAATCGGATTCCCTCCAAGATCTTGTTGATCAGGCCAGGGGAAAAATGCGAGCTGGAGCTGTCAGGCCATGATCTAAAACCACATGAGGATGATTCTTCGAGCACTGGCATTGTGAAAGAACAGCTGCTATACCTGCATGGTTGGTCGCTATCCCAGTCGTTTTTCTGGAAAGTTCACCTTCTGACACTGAGAGACCAACAGGGCACTGGTCAAACAAGAAACGAATGACGCCGGGCTGCTTGAGAAGCCAGGCAATGCCATGAGTGGCCCAGCTAGAAGCGCCTCCCGGTTGCTCCAGGAAGAAATATCTGTTCTGAGACCTCTGGTATTCAGCTACTTGCACGCAGAAATGCAGCGTGGCCAAGCCCTGAACTTGAAGCCTCTGGGCTTCCTTCTCATCCATTCGTTTCCAGTTACTCTCCATGATTTGTGAAAATGGCTTGCACTCTGGAGTCATAAGGATTATGTCAAGCTTTTGGGACCGTACCACATTCCAGAAATCTGCTCGACACTGGGCAGAAAAGAACTCCCAGCCGGTCTCTCTGTCAAACGCTGGCGGCTCGGTGGTCTGAAAACCGAACCCTTTGGCCTCCAAAGTCACTCTAGGAGGTGAGAAGAGCTCACAGATCGTGAGACATTTCTTCGCCAGAATTTTGCCATCAAAACAAGCGCGCTCGACGGCTTCCCTGTTGGAGGGAAAACCACTACCTAACTGGAGACTACCTGCTAGGTTAGCTAAACCCTCTAACTCCTCATAAAAATTGTCATGATCTCTTGAGGTTCTGGGGTCCTCTGCCCGCTCTTCTGCTGTTCTTGAGGTCCTTGGGTGCTCCTCTTCCCAACTAGTTACTGCTGAGGTTCTTGGGTCCTCTGCCCGTTCTTGTTCATTTCTTGAGGTCCTTGGGTTGTCCTCATCTCTGCTAACAAAATTGGACTGTACAGATTGATCGGTGAGACGGTGTGAGGTCCTTGGGTGGTCCCCTTCCGAACTAGTTACTGCTGAGGTTCTTGGGTCCTCTGCCCGTTCTTGTTCATTTCGTGAGGTCCTTGGGTTGTCCTCATCCCTGCTAGCAAAATTGGACTGTACAGATTGATCGGTGAGAAAGTTCTCGGACAAGGCTGTACGCAAATCGCGTTTCTGCTTGTGGGTCACCTGAAATTCACGATCATCAAAAACATCACTGCAAAACAGGTCAAAACACAGTTCATAATCAAACCAAACATACTTCACACTTCCAAAATCATCCTGCCAAAGAAAACCTGGTTTGGTGAACCCGAGGGTGCAAAACGAAGCAAAATGAAAATCCGCTACCAGCCAGTTCCTTGCTGGTGTGAGATCAATGTTGTGTGAAACTGCTCGTGGCCCCAACTCGGAGGCCATTCCCAAGCCGATCGGTTGGGGTTCGCCATCTCCTCGTCGCTTCCAGTCCCGCGGAATGGGCGGAGGGCATCTGAGATGCGGATCCGGCAGCCATCTGCTGGTGGGACATCGCTTGCTGAAGAGCCTGTTGAAGTTGAGCTTGATTCTGCACCAAAGGACCCAGAGCTGCCTGTCCTGAGACCAGGTAGCCGGCTTGACGCTCCAGGGACACTCCTCCCACTGCTTCTGGCTTCTGTTTCCTCTCTTTGGGAGCGGGAAGGATCTTGGGCTGTGGCAGAAAGGTCTCCTGGTGCTTGATCTGCTTCGGCTTGTTCTTTGTCGGAGGGTTGCTCTCGCTGTAGGGCTCGTAAGTGAGCTGCTGCTTGCAAGCATTGCACCGTGTCCAACGCCCGTATTGGTTCGAGCCATTGACCACCATGTGTTGTGGGTGATTGCAGGTGGTCAGCCGAGAGAGAGGAAGACGTAGATTGGCTGACTTGGCATGTTGCGAGAGCAGACGCCTCACCAGGCCATACCAACGTGCCTGAGCCACTTCCCGATCTTGCTCCGAGCGAGGTGTTCCCCTCATGGTCCTCAGAGACGCCATCGACGCCATCAGAGCGAGCGTTCTCAGATTGGAAAACACTTGATCGTTGATCGCAGCTGTCAGTTGACAAATCAGCTGACAACCCTGGTTCTTGAGACGGCGAGGCACAATCAAAAGGGAAGTCGATGCGGCAACGATTCTCAACTTGCTCAGATTGAGTTGGCTCAACTGAAGTGCAAAATGAAATTTCTTCCAACTGGTTCAAACCTGTCACTTCATCCTTCGCGTTCGAGTTGTAGATCTCGGCCAAGTTGACGTGCCAACTGCCCACACCAAAGTGGGAAAAGTGACCAGAACTTGCCGAACGTAAACCCAAGAAGACAAAAGCGGAAGATCCGCCCTTGCCCTTGCCTTCATGCCCTTCATCAGATCCATGCCCAAAGGAAGATGAAGAGCCTCGAGGACGAGGAGGATGTGGGCACTCTTCCCTCCAATGTCCCTTCTGTTGACAATTGGCACATTTGGTCACCTTCTTCAATTCCTCGATGGATAGCCTTCTCTTGTTTGCTGGTCTGGATGGTCTGCTGCCGCGGTCTTCAAAATGACGGCGATCTTTCTTTCGTGCGGCTTTCAACTGCTTGTTCTCCTTCCAGGAGCGGCGCTTGCCTTGCCAGTCTGCAAGGAAGACAAGCGCGTCATCCTCCGTCAGGTTCTGCTGCTCGAGGCTGAAAAAGATCTGGTCCGTCTCCTCTTCGGAATCCGAGGTGTCGTCATCGTCAGCCTTATAGTTGCCAACGCTCTCATCGATGGCAAGATAACTTCCCTTGCCGGTGGACTTGAACATGGACTCCTCCTCAGTGTCAAGGACTTGCAAAGCTTGATGCACTTCTTGATGCTGATGCCGCCCTCCTGTCAGGACGCGGAGGTTCTGCAGGCCTTGACGGTTGAGGCCTGACTGTTCCTCCAGCATGAAGGCCTTCAGCTCGTCAGGGATCGTGAGGTACTTCTCGGCACCTGTGACCTGAGCCTCCCGTCGGAGAGCGTAGGCTGCTAAGGACTCATCATTCCTGCGAATGAACCCTCGTACAAGGCAGCCCTTACGCTGCGTCTTTTCTCAGAGGACTCTTTCTCGCCCGCAATCACGTCCAAGACTTCAAAGATCCTGTCCAAGTAAGACGAGCTAGACAGCACTTCCTCTGGAAGGTGGTCTAACTTGGATTGAAGCTCCCAGTCAAAGGTCTTGAGACCCGGGGCTAGTTGTTTGATCGCCCCCTTCTACCTGCCCAGCACCTACTGTTCCAGCTGCGGCCTCGGCCGCTTCCAACTCCTCCATGTTCATCCCATAGGATCGCCAACCAAGTGCTCCGAGTAGCACTGAAGAGGCAAGCGGATGGAAGGCTGCAGCTGTTTCTCACCGTGGGACTAGGCGTAAAAGGAGGTGTTACAACACCGCCAGGGCTTGAGACAAACAGCCCGAGGAAATGTTAGTTGGATGATTGCACATCTTCGTGACAAGTGACAAGTGGTATGAATCAACACCTCTACTGGACTCTATGCTTGGAGCCCCGGAGCTATGCATGCCTCACAATGCAAAAGCGTACCAAACACACTGCGCATCAATCCGCACATTTGATCACATTTGTACGTGCATATCTCAGACCTCAGTTCTTTGACTTGAAGCCTTTAACAACACCCAGGGGACTCTCTCTGCTTGCAGGCACCTTCTGTGCACCCAAGGGGGCAAAACGCATGCAACTTTACAATCACCAGCAAAAATGGATTGAGAACAATGCACACATGGCCCCGGCGGTTTGTTTCCTGGATTCGGATTCGAAGCTCTTTGACAAAGACCGGGTTTGAAGGAAAATTTCAACATTCCTATAGTAGGTCCTAAACAAGCCAATCCTGCAAGTTCGCGATGACACCGAGAACCATAGCCAAGGCTAACGTTGCCACCGTGTGCGCTGCATTTTGTCGAATGCAATTGTTGTGGCTGTCGCTGTAGTGATTGTAGTACTTGTCAATGTTGTAGTTGGGGTCGAGCCTACAAAGCTCCAGTTCATTCATGTAGAAATGTTGTAAGCTGCCACACCAATTTGACCCGCAATTTAGACATAGTCCCCTACAGCTGCAGCTGGGCCGACGGCCCATGCCTCCACCTCTATGATATCTACCGGGTCATGCCTGAAAGAAGTGTTAGTAAACAGTACCAGGAATCGGACTGGAAAGCAAAGCAGGCATAACGTTCCACAACTGCCATACCTGTGTTGATGCTGCCGGTCACTATTAGGCCTCCGCCCTGAGTAAAGTGTGGCTTGGTTCGGTCAGAAACGTCCAAAGTCGCTACACTCTCCAAAAAGCCAATGTAGGCATAGTCACCCACAATGGCGATGTTTGCTGTGATCCCGAAACCAGCCTCACCTCCTCCCAGGAAATGTAGAGTATTTCCTTCATGCACCCAGCCCTGTGATGCGTGGGGTGGGCGGGTCTGAAATGTTGACAACTGTCAAGCCACCACCCCAAGTCTTACCCCATCCCACACACCGATGCCGGAACTGTGGGCGTAGTCTCCTACAATGCTAATACCAGTCTGAATTGGAAACGGGATCGTTAGTGCCCAACTTTTACCACGGCAGCGCGGTATGACTCAAGGGCCCTAAAGC